TCGGGGGGGGGGGGCATGGAGAGTAATACTAGACCTAAAGAGTCTGAACAGACACCTGGAATACAAAAAATTCAAAATGCAAACCCTTCACTCGATATTAGCAAGCATCAGGAAGGGGGACCTTCTGACGTCCATAGATCTGACGGAGGCCTACCTTTACATTCCCATATTTACAGACCACCGGAGGTTCCTCAGATTCTACCACACGGGTCAACACTTCCAATACAGGGCCCTGCCTTTTGGACTTTCTTCAGCTCCCAGGGTCTTCACAAAGGTATTGGCAACAATCGCCACGCACTTGAGAACAATTCCGGTGTGCATCCAATGCTATCTGGATGACATTCTCATCCAATCCTCATCGGTCCAGACAGCACAGTCAGACCTGCACTGACTCTGAAAACCCTTCAAGACCACAGGTTCTCAGTAAATTTTCAGAAGAGTCAGACCGTTCCCTCAAACCGTCTTCTTCATCTGGGAGCAGTCATAAACACACAAACATGAATGGTCCATCTTTCTTAGGACCATCAACGCAGCATTCGAACCCTGGTCAGGCTCATCCGAAGGAAGCGATCTTCAATGCTGGCTACACTCTCACAACTGCTAGGAAAGATGGTGTCATGCCTTGCAATCGTACCTTGGGCAAGGCTACACTCCAGAGAGCTCCAGTGTTTCCGACTTCCATTTCAAAGAGTGGGGATAGGTTCCTCAAACTGAAGAGTGAAGGTGCCACCAAAGATCCTGAGGTCGCTCCAGTGGTAGTCCTCCCCAGCGATGGGGAAGGGACACTTGTTCAGGGAAGCCAACCAAGTCACCCTTACCACGGATGCCGGCCTGTTTGGCTGGGGTGCACACCTGCAATCACAGCACAGGGTCAATGGTCAAAGAAAGACCTAAAGCACAACATAAACTGGCTAGAACTCAGAGCCATACACCTGGCCCTCCGTCACTTCCACAGCGCAGTGGCGCATTGACACGTGCTCATACTCACGGACAACGTGGCAGCCAAAGCGCACGACAACCGACGAGGCACGCGATCCAGGGCCCTCATGAACGAAGCACAAATGCTGGGAACCTGGGCAGAAAACAACCTAAATTCCATCAAGGCCAAGCACATCTCAGGAGAAGCCAATCGCCAGGCAGACTTCCTGAGCAGAACAACAATAGGCTACTCAGTGGAGCCTGCACCCTGCTCTCTTCAGAGAGGCAGCAGAGAGATTCGGCCATCCAGTGTTGGACCTGTTTGCCAGTCCAAAGAGTACTCAGCTTCCGAGGTTCTTCTCTCATTTTCCGACACCAGGAACAGAGAGAGGGGATGCACTCCGAGGCCAATGGCCAAAAGGACTGCTGTATGCATTCCCACCTCTTCCTCTGATACAAGCAACCATCAGGAAGATATTGCAGGAACAGGCGGGGGTGATACTCATTGCACTGGCCAAGACGGCCGTGGTTTGCCGATCTCGTAAACCTGTCTACATCTCCATTGTGGAGGATTCCACACAACCAAATTTCCTTCAACCAGGGGTCCCTGCTACATCCAGACCCACAGTGGCTCCAATTGATCGCCTGGCGCTTGAGTGGAGTCTCCTAGAGAGAGACAACTTCTCACAAAGAGTCATTAGGACTCTCCAGGCCTCTAGAAGGCCTACAACTAACAGGATCTATGATTCCACTTGGAAAAATTATTGCGGTTGGTGCAACAGGCAACAACTAGAACCATGCAACATCTCTATCCCAGATATCTTAGAATACCTAGCAGAAGGTCTGGATAGGGGGTTAGCACCCAATACAATTTGTAGACAGGTGGCTGCCCTATCAACTATTCTTACCTACAGCAACTCCGAAACTCTAGCCAGGTACCCAGTGGTGCGATTCTTTCTAAAGGGCGCATCTAACAGTAGGCCATCTGTGGTACACAGATACCTCTCCTGGGATCTACCTAAGGTCCTACAGGCCATAACCTTACCTCCATTTGAGCCTGTCAGGACCTGTGATCTACAGCACCTGACCCTTAAGGTTGCCTTCTTAGTCGCTGTTACCTCAGCAAGACACATCTCAGAACTAGCAGCCCTGTCAGTAAGGGAGGACTTTTGTACCTTCCACATGGACAGTCCTTGACAGTCCCCAGACAAATCACTGCACATTCCACACGGAGTGCTGCAACCTCAGCAGCATGGGCAACTCAGGCTTCGATTGAAGAGATATGTAGAGCAGCGATGTAGATGTCGCCTTCCCCTTTTATAGGACACTACAAATTAGACAGATTCGCATCTGCGGAAGCCTTCTTTGGCAGGAGGGTACTCCAGTGCATAATATCAGAGAGTGGGACATAGGCCCAGACGGCATCCCATCCACAAGGACAGTGAGGCTTTGGTATGTCCCATTGGTGGATTCTCCACTCGTCATACTGGAGAAGAGGCGTTGGTCTTACCTGAATGCCTTTTCTCAGCATGACGATGGAGAATCCACTCTCACCCTTGAGGCCAGTCAGGTCCTCTGAGGGGAGAGAATGGAGTCAACACAAGAAAACGTAGCCAAACAGCTTTCGCCTCGTCGAGACGGGGGAAGGGAGGTCCCAGGAGGAGAGGCGGAGCAAAACTGGTCGACTAGTCTACGGGCAGAAGACGAAGTTAACCCATTGGTGGATTCTCCATCATCATGCTGAGAAAAGGCGTTCAGGTAAGACCAACGCCCAATCTCTGAATGAGCCTTCATATAGATAGAAAATAACACAAAGAAGAGTGAAGAAAAGCCTTCCTAGACTCCTTAGGAAAACTCCTAGAAGGTTTAATAGATACTTCTCAATATCTCTAATAATGATGCAGGAAAAGTGGAGTGGAAATATTTTAAAGTAGTACCTATAAACCAAATCCAGATCTAAATCTAATTAAAACAACATACTAAATGATATTAAACATGATAGATAGTTTAATACCATCAAGATACGATGGTCAACAATATCACTACATCCAGGAATATCAGGAATATTTTATTTCCCTTGTCTTTCTCTTGGTAATAAGCATCTGTCAGAACAGCCACAGCCATTTTTTTGTTTTATATCCAGTATAAATATCAAAAGAATTTGGAAAGGCAACCATTATGATAAGTTTCAATGAAAATGAATTATTGGCATCAGGCATTTGTTAAAATTGTCCAGTTAAAATTGACTTCTTAAGCAAGGGCCTTGGAAGCACATCCTTTCATAAGATGAGGCTCTTTATATGAAATAAATGTTAGTATATTGAGTGATAATTGACTGGATCAGGCCAATTAGAGGACCCTTTTTTCCTATTGCAGCACAACGTTTTCTCTTCAAAGAGAACTTTGAGAAATCAGATGTCTTATCTATTCAGTAACATTTGTTAGGATTACTTCATATTCAAAAACAACACCAGTCTGAGATCACTACCACTAATATTGTGGAGCTTCAAGCAAATAACTTCTGAAGTTATTTGGTTCTGTTGCTCCAGAGGAAACACATTGGAGGCAGCTTTGATGGTTTCCCTTTATAGTTATGTTGGCATGCTTTTCTTAGTGGAAAATTCTGCCTTCTTCTAAAGCAATGTAATTATTTTCTGGAAGCCTTGGGGGAGTGCTTTGCTGTGCCCCCAGAAAGTGGACACTTATTTATTTTTACTTCATTCTCCCTTGCTGTGAAAAAAACAAATGCAGCAAACGAAGAATAAGGAAAAGTGGAAAGCCTCTGTGGTTTATAATGCTGTCATATTGGCTAAATAGAAGGTGTGCTGGCTGGCTCAAGGGAAAAAAAGCAAAAGCACAGAGCTTTACAAAAAAATCTGGTGGCAGTGAAGCAAAGACAAGGGCATTTTGGAAGTGGCCACAGATTAGCAACTGATTCTTTTATAATCATATACTATCATTTTTGCCACCTATAACTTTCTTCTTTGTGCATTCAAGCATTCTGCATAGACCATAATACTTATTTTAATGGTAGTTCGATTGGGGGGGACGTTCTAAGTTTGAATACAGTGAAATATTTCCTTCTCTGCTTATAAGCAATTGCTTTCACCATTTACAAGCACCTTACATATTTAATTGCTCTTATATTTAGATTTGCTTCAACATATTCAATACTTAGAGAAGAAAAACAAATCAAGTTTAGTTTTAAAATAAGTTAGAGATTTTTTTCCATCAGCATTTCAGAACTGCAGATAAAATGACTTCCTGTCTCTCAGTTTCCTGTATCCATGGTAACTTGATTTCAGCCAGTCATTGTAGAGGAGCCGATGGGAAGAGTAGTATTTCCTGTAGGAACAGTTGCAGAACTGGTAGGCAAAGTGTGAGAAATTTCAACAGAAGGAAAACATTTAACTGATAAAATGAGCTTCGTATTCTGGGTGAGAACAATTTTAACATATTTTAAACTTAGAATAGTAGAAATGTTAATATAAGCTATGTGCAGCTATGAAGGATGAGTTATTAAAGGTTGAAGAATGTAATTTATAGCTTAAAATATAACTCATCTGGCAATTTTGTAACAGAACTTCTACATTCTGTTTAAATAATGTAAGCATTTAATTTTATCATTAACAATCTTCAAATATAGTAAATGTAAATTTAATTTTAACTATAAACGATGGAATAAAATACATACAGGTAGTCCTTGACTTACAACCGTTTGTTTAGTGGCTGTTCAAATTAAAATGGCACTGAAAAAAGTGACTGCAGTGTCCCAGGGTCATGTGATCCCCTTTTGCGACCCTCTGACAAGCAAAGTCAATGGGGAAGCCAAATTCACTTAACAATCAAGTTACTAATTTAACAACTGCAGTGATTCATTTAACAAAGGTCATAAAATGGGGCAAAACTCATTGACAAATGTGTCACTTAGCAACAGAAATTTTGGGCTCAATTGTGATCGTAAATTGAGGACTATCTATAAAGCACTTCTAAATAATTGTAAAAGTAATACTGATAAAAATAGTGAGCTACAAGGATTTTGAATAAGCATTTTTTTTTAACTTTTTTTCTGATAGCGCAGTCAAAGGTGACTTGGAGAGTCAAAGCCTGGGATATGTATCAACTTCATCACTTTGAGTCATTTCAACATATTTTTAATTGTCTTCTGCTGCTGATGATCCAAAAGGATATATTTTGTTGTCCATCAGTTTGCCAGCAGTGTATAGGCAGACAAGTTGACTGCCGTAATTCAAGTCTTTCTTTTATTCCAAACAATTTTCCACAGAATACTTTATTTCTGTACTTAAGTGGCAACAATATATCACACATAAATCCAAATACATTGATAAACCTCCAGCAGCTTATTGTACTACACTTGGACAATTCTGGCATTTTATGTTTATATCCAAATATATTTGCTGAATTGAAAAAATTATGCTATCTACAGCTGAATAATAATCATATAAAACATTTGTATCCTGGAACATTTGAAGGACTTTCAAATCTTCATTCTTTATATCTTCAGAATAATGAAATTGACTTTGTTTCTGAAGGATTATTTGGTAACCTCACTTCAGTTCATTATCTAATGCTGCAAAACAATCGCCTCAGGATCCTTGGTAGCCGCATTTTCTTTGGCATGATTGATCTTCGAATTCTTAACCTAGCAAACAATAAGATTTCACAAATATCAGACAGAGCATTCCAGCACCTTGATAATCTTACAGGCTTGCACCTCGAAGGAAATAATTTAACATGTGTGCCATCTACTGCGTTTCTAGTACTGAGCAAACTTCAAAAACTTTCATTGTCACGAAACCCTGTTGGGTCAATTCCTCCTTTTGCATTTAAAGGACTTAGCAAGCTTGAATGTCTATTTTTAAAAAGTGCTAAAATAAACACTATTAATGCAAATGGATTTTCAGGGTTAGTTAATCTTAAAAAACTAGTTTTGAGTGATAATAATTTAGTAAACATCAATTCCCATACTTTCTCATTGTTGGATCATTTAAAGTTTTTGTATCTTGATAGAAACAAAATAATTGATATTGCAGGTAATACTTTCGAAGGACTAGGATCCACTTTGAAAATACTTGATCTATCTTTCAATAATCTTACATTTTTACAGCCTATAGTGCTCAAGCCTTTGGTTTTTTTAACTCACTTACAGGCAAATTACAATCCTTGGGATTGCAGCTGCAAATTACACAGATTGATGAATTGGCTAGCTTCTTCTTCTATCTCCGTGAAACTCCTTTGCCAAAGTCCTTCCAGTCTGCATGGAAGATATATGAATTATGCTAGTTTGCATTTGTTCAAAAATTGTTTCAACAGTACAAGTCCTAAAATTTTCAAGAACAGTAAATCTGCAGGAATCCAGCAAAGCTTTACTACTTCATTAGTGGCACAGAATATATACCTCACAAGTAATTCAGTTAAAAAACAGTTGAACTTTAATGCAAATACAGTTACATCATTGGTAAAAGTATCTTATACATCTACTTATCAAAATCTCAGTGAAGAAAATTCTAGTAGGAATTCAAAACAGGAACAAATAGCAACACAGAAGATAACTGCTAATGTGACCATGAAAGAAAATAAAGTACTATCTCCGGAAGCTGTTTCTGTATCGTTTAAAACATCCCTAATTTGTACACAGCAAGTAGAGAAACTAAAGCAGGCTTTTGACATTTTATTAACCTTTTTCATTTTGGCCTGTGCTGTGATCTTCTTTTTGTTCTACAAAATCATTAAACTGAAACAGAAGTACAATGTACAAAAGAACTCGGACAATACAATAGAATACTATGGCTTTTATCAGGCTGGTAGTTACAATGTTACCGTACCTCAGAACCCAAGAAGTTCTGAATTGGATCCTGCTGAACTTTCTAAATCAACAGCCTTTGAAAACCAAGCACAGGTTATCTTATTTGAACATTCAGCACTGTAATACATTCATCACACTTTTTCTTTTTATGTGTATAAAAGGCAACACTATGTGACTTTTATAAATGCAAGTTTAACTACTGAGGTTGGGGTCGGAGGTTGAAATGCAGCTAATATTTTTAACATTTACATTTTGTTCTAATTTTAATATCTGCATTTTATTGATTTTAAGTATATTTTAGCTATAATTATTCTATTTTAATTGACCTGCCTGTAGCAATTATATATCATTAATGTTATTTTATGTTTGGTATTCTGCATAAATTTGATGTTATATTAAAAAGAACAGGATTTTTTTTTTATTGAAAATTTTTAAAAGTTTTTACAAAAAACGGAAAAGACAACAACAAAAAAAACAAAACAACCCTCACCCAAGTCCTCCCAAACCACCCCCTCCACCACCCCACCCCCGAGCTTCCCAGAGCTGAATATAGGCTTAATTAAAATTTTAAAAATCCTAAAAAAAGTTAAACAAGTTATAAAATAATTAACAATAAGATATATATAACAAAAAAAACATAAGCATTAAAAAGAAAAAGTACTTAAAAAAGAAGAAAAAAGAAAGAAGAAAAGAGATAAAAAAAAGAAAAAAGAGAAAAAGTACAATCTATAAAATATCAAAGTTTATACAAGTTATAAAAAAGCTAAATGATATTTTTTATATCCAATTTGTATTGTGTGAAATTTATCCATTTTTTCCATACGGCAAAAAATTTCTCTTGCCATTGCTCCTTTAAAAAAGCCGAAATCTTTGCCATTTCCGCCAGATAAGAAACTTTAAAGAGCCACTCTTGCAAGGTAGGCAAAGATTCCTTCTTCCAATATTGCCCTATTAACAGCCTTGCGGCTGTAATCAAATTCAACATCAATATAACCTCCTTAGCATCACAATCAGTAACAATACCTAACAAAAACAATTGTGGAGTAAATTTTACCCTCTTTCTAAAAATTCTTTGAATATTCCACCATATCTTAATCCAAAAAGCTTTTATATTTTTACAAGACCACCAAATATGATAATAAGTGGCGTCGAGGCAACCACATCTCCAACATTTAGACTGTAAGTCAGGATACATAAGAGACATTTTTTGTGGATCAAGGTGCCATCTATAAAACATTTTATAAAAATTCTCCCTTAAGTTCTGGGCTTATGTAAATTTGACATTCCTCACCCAGATAGTTTCCCAGGTATCCAATAGAACTGGTTCACCAAAATTTTGTGCCCATTTAATCATACAGTCTTTGATTAGTTCTGATTCGGAATCCAGTTCCACTAGAACCCCGTAAATTCTCTTAATGTGAGTTTGTCTTTGATCCTTTACTTGTTTAAAAAGATTTTCATCTTCTCTAAGCAAGCCCATATTACGATCCATCTTCCATCTATCCACTATTTGTCTATATTGAAACCATGAATAGGTAATATTTTCATGTAATAAATCTTCCAAAGATTTTAACTGCCAATTTTGGCCATCCCATCTAAGTAGTTGTGCATAAGAGACCCTATCCATTTTAACTCCTCTCCTTATCCCCTCTATTGCATGCCAAGGTATAGCCCATAATGGTATTTTAAAATCACTTTTATAATATTTCTTCCAAACCCGAAGTAGAGAAATCCTTATAATATGAGATTTAAAAACCCAATCCACTTTTTTATTAAAAATTAAATAGGCATGCCATCCAAAAAGTAAATCCCAACCCTCCAGATGGAGTATTTCTACATTTGTTAAATTTACCCAATCACTAATCAATGTTAAAACCACAGCATCATAATATAATTTCAAATTCGGTACCTTGAGTCCACCTCTCTCACAGAAATCTTGCATAATTTTAAGCTTTACCCTTGGTTTTTTCCCTGCCCAAATAAATTTATTAATGCCTTTCTGCCATTCATTTAAATTAACCTCATTCTTTAAAATAGGTAGCATTTGAAACAAAAAGAGAAATTTTGGTAGGACATTCATTTTAATCACTGCAATTCTTCCCATAAGAGATAACTGTAACTTCTCCCAATTCTTCAAGTCTTTCTGTACCCTGACCCACAGCCTTTCATAATTATTCTTATACAATTTTACATTAGAAACAGATAAAGTAACTCCCAAATATTTTATCTTATCAACAACTTCAAAATCAGTCAAATTAACCAAAATCTGCTTGTCCCGATTAGTCATGTTTTTAGATAATATTTTAGTCTTATTATTATTAATTTTAAAACCTGAAACCCGTCCATATTGGTAAATCAGTTGTAGTAACTTTACTACAGAATAGGTAGGTTGAGACAAAGTAACCACCAAGTCATCTGCAAAAGCTCTTAACTTGTATTCTTTTTTGTTAACTTCTATTCCTTTTATTTCCTGCGACTCTCGAATTTTAATCAACAAAATTTCCAATGTTAGAACAAACAGTAACGGTGACAATGGACATCCCTGTCTTGTACCTTTTTCTATTGTAAAAACCTCTGACAAGCCCCCATTAACAATAAGTTGTGCCGTTTGTTTTTGATATATAGCACCAAAAGCTTGTAATATTTTTTTTCCAAAATTCATCTCCTCAACTACTCTTAACATAAACTGCCAATTCAATTGATCAAAAGCTTTTTCAGCATCTAAAAATATCAGCCCTGCAGAGATTTGGTTATTCTTATCTAAATATTCTAATAAGTTGATAATTTGTCTAGCATTATTTTTCATATACCTACCGGTTATAAAACCCGATTGATCCTTATGTATAAGCTGATGCAAAACCCTCATAACCTTATTAGCTAAAATTTTTGCAAAAATCTTATCTACATTTAAGAGAGATATAGGCCTATAATTCTTTGGTAAAGTAAGATCTTGATCCTCTTTTGGAATCAAAGATATAAAAGCACTGCGCCATGACGGAGGAATCTCTGAGCCCTGTAATATATTATTAAAAAGCTCACATAAAGGTTGAATCATCTCTTCTACTAAGGTTTTATAATAAATGGATGTCAAACCATCCGTACCCGGCGCTTTATCTAATTTTAATTGCTTAATAACTGTCACAATTTCCTCATTGGTAATTAAACCATTAATTTCTTGTTTCTGATCTTCTGTTAGTTTAGGAAAGTTAGCCTCACTTAGATAATTATTTATATCTAAAATTTGTACATTGGTACTCTTATATAATTTTTGATAATAATCTAAAAAAGATTTCTTAATCAACTCCTTCTGATACACTAATTTACCATTATAATTTATTTTATCTATAATTCTCTGTCTCTGTTTCTTTCTTAATTGATAGGCCAACCATCTCCCTGGTTTATTAGCATTACAAAATGTATTTTGTTTCATAAACAATAAATTAGTTGCAGTTTGATCAGCCATCAACATGTTAAATTGTGTTCTTAACAACTTTATAGATTCTTTAACCTTTTCATCTAAAGGATTTAAAATCAAAAACTTTTCTTTTAATTTAATCTCATCTTCCAGTTCCTTACGTTTCTGGGTCTGCTTTTGTCTATGGACATTATTCATTTTTATCAGAATCCCACGCATGAAAGCTTTACCTGCATCCCATACCATTGATATTGATGTTCCCTTATGCATATTTAAAGCAAAATAATCCTTTAAGCACTCCTTTAATTTTTGAAGATTCCTTTCTTGTCTAAATAAGTTCTCATTCACCCTCCAGGATCTCCTCTCCTCTTTTTCATCAGCCAATTCCATTCAAACTGGACTATGATCCGTCAATGACCTAGGAAAGATTTTTACATTCTTTACCCTATTATATAAGTCAGTTGTAATCAAGAAAAAGTCAATTCTTGAAAAAGATTGATGTCTATCTGAGAAAAAGGTAAAGTCTCTCTCCTCTTGGTTACGTTCACGCCAATAATCCCTCAGCTCCCAGTCCTCTTCCAGATCAAAAAAGGCTTTAGGTAATTTGGCCTGTTTAAAAAAGGCAGAAGAACCTTTTTTGTCCCTTTGTGTATCTAAGACACCATTCCAATCTCCCATTAATATCACAGATCTATAGTCCAGCGAAGTTATTTTCTGATGTAACAATCTATAAAATTGTTCCTGTTGCTAGTTTGGTGCGTACAGTCCCACTATAAGTATTTTCTTACCATATAAACCAAGTTCAATCATAACATATCTTCCTTGAGGATCTGATTCTACCAGACAAACTGGTAGGCTTTGCTTAACGTAAATAACCACACCCCCTTTTTCCCCAGGGGCAGGAGATATAAAATGAGATCCCAGACGAGCATTGGCTAGATATTTTTGATCTTTGAGTAAAATATGAGTTTCCTGCAAACAAATAATGTCATTATTAAGTTGCTTTAGATAATAAAAAATTTTCTTTCTTTTCTGGGGGGAGTTAAGGCCGTTAACATTCCAGGTCAGGAACTTTGCCATCTCCCTTGACCAGGAGCCTGGAGAAGACTGCCTGAAGATCTGCCATTGAAGAATGTGTTGCAGAACTCTTGGGTCTTGCTCCTCCCACGGCAACGAGACACTTTCATGAGAAGATTCTTTAACTTCTTTCTTCTGTTGTTCCTATGTGCTGCACGAGTCATTCTCTGCTCTTTGACCTCTGCTTGGTGCGACCATTCCACCTGTGACTTTCCAGCAGCCATCAGACCTAATCCTTCAGACTGCTGTTCCACCTTTTTGCCGCCCAGAGCTTTCTGAATCATAGATGAAGATGAGCCTGCTCCCAGGACCGTATTATAAAACTCTTTGGCTTTAACAACCGTATTAAGTCTGTAACGTGTCCCCTCATGGCTCAAAACAATACCCATCGGAATATCCCATCTGAATGGCATCAGTCTTGTTTTAAGTTCATTAGCTAGAAAGGCAAAGTCTTTTCTATTTCTTAAAATTTTGGATGGGATTTCCTTTAAAATAATGACATCTTGGGCAGCAATATGGAATCTCTTATTATAAAAAGCTTGTATGATTTCATTACGCAGAGATCTCTTTGCAAAGTAGATCACCACATCTCTTGGCAGATTCTTTTGTTTCGCAATCCAGGAATTAACTCTGTAAATTTTTTCCACTTCTCTACGTAATCCATCTTTATCCCTATTCAGAACAACAGCTAGATCATTAAACACCATCTCTGTCAAATCTTGATTCATATCTTCTTTCAGACCCCTAATTCTCAAAGTATGCTCCATTTCCCTATACTGAGACATAAGAATATCCTCTTGTGAGGTTTCCATCTTTTTTTCCATATCTTGGAATTTATCTTCAAGGAGGTCTACTTTATCTGCAACCTCTTCCACTCTGGAGTCCAACTTCTCGACCACAGAAGCCAGGCCTGATAAAGCTGTTACTATGTCTTGCCTCAAAATAGTATTATTCTCCACTAAAAGCTCCTTCATTTCCTCTTTACTTTCAGATTTATTCTGTTTAAGAAGGTC